TAAAGTAGGCTCTGGGCATGGCAGAAATAACCTAGTTCATCCCCTTTCTTATCCTTTGCCATTTTCTCCTGAAAGTAGAGTTGCATGCATGCCTGTGTCATGGTATGTGTTCACCTCAACACTCCTGCTGTCTCCTTTGTGGGGTCTCCTTTGTATTTTAGCCTCTAGGGTACAAATGCTCTTCCCCTTTTACCTCTTGCCCTTCTGCAAACCCTGTTGATTTAATCTCCCAGAATAAAGCTCTGCTGAGCTCAAAACAATGTGCTGCAGCCATCTGCAGGCTGTCCTCTTCTTGGAGGCTCACAGACATCTGAAACTCAACACATCCATGGGGACAGAGTCCTCCACCTGTGTGGATTATGTCTTATTTGCTTTATTTTTTATGCTTTCACAAATTTTGGGGTCTTCCCAATTCTGAAAGCATTGCCCCTCCCAGAGGCAGCTAATTCCTGGGAATAACAATCTGTTTGGGAGTGTGCCTTTCAATACAAACCAACCAATTGCCTTTCAATACAAACCAACCAATTGTACCCCCACACCCCTCCCCAGTCAGCTCCTAGTCTGGTGGGACTGGCAGACAACAGCTTTGGGCCAAATCCAGGCCAATACCTGTTTTAAGCGCTTGTTTTGTATGTTCCATGAGTTAAGAATGGCTTTTACATTCTTAAATGTTTAGGGGAAAAATATCACAAGAGTATCCTGTGACACATAAAATTCAATTTCAGAATTCATAAATACAGTCTTTTTTTTGCCATAGGGTGCGTGCGCTTGCCAGAGAGACAGAGAGAAATAGAGAGATAGAAAGCGAGAAATCACCCCCCAGGGGGGATGGCCACGCCGCAATCCCTTCTCCTCCATTCTCCTCTCGGGATCTTGGGCACGCACGCACACGCGCCAAGCCTGAGTTTTAAGCCACCGGGTCCAGGACGCAAACCGCGGCTGACTATGTGGGAGTCCAGTGACATAGCCATTACACTAACTGCTGGTCCCCATAAATACAGTCTTATTGGAACATATTCACATTTATTTGTCTACAGATTATGACTATTTTCATAACACAGTGGAGACTTAAGTATTTTCTATCTGACTTTTATTAATTGCCAGAAGGCACACGCTCTCACCTTAGAGAGACAGAGAGAGAAAAAAAGGGAGAAAGTACCCCCACCAGGGCGTAGTCATGCTGAAATCCTTTCTCCATTTCTCCTACCTGGAGGGAATCTGGGCACACACAAATGTATGCAGTGTGTTTTTTGAGTTGCAAGGGTCAACATTTAAACTATGGGTTGCCTCTGGGATCCCACTCCCTTATCCAGTAGGATTTGGGGTCAGCCCTATCTGGCTCTTTATATGAGTTTTTCAACTCCTGATATATAGCAGCGCTTGAGCACATAACAGACCCTTTAAAACTACCTGATCAAGGGGGGGAACAGCAGTTAGCATCATGGCTATGTCGCTGGACTCCTACGTAGTTGACCGTGGTTCGAGTCCCGGACCCAGTGGCTTAAACTCACGCCAGGTGCGTGTGCGTGCATGCCCAAGATCCTGAGAGGAGAATGGAGGGGAAGGGATTGTGGCGTGGCCATCTCCCTGGGGGGTGATTTCTCGCTTTCTGTCTCTCTGTCTCTCTCTGTCTGGCAAGCGCACGTGCCCTATAGCAAAAAATTCTCTAAAAAAAAAAAAAAAAAAAAAAACCTACCTGATCAAAAGTTTGAAAAGTTAATAAACAAGCAATCTACCTACCAACTTTTAACCTCACTCTATCAGTTAGAATTAACTGCAGCACACAAACTGAAATATTTCCTGCTAAAAGCCACCTTTTACAGAAAAAGACTGACAACTCTGTTCTATAGTGTCAAGGCAAAAAGAGAAAGTCAATGAGGCAGAGACAGTGAGACAGAGAGATTCAGAGACAGAAAGAATTAAAAAGCACAAATGACTAATAGTAGAAATTAAAAGGGGGAATATCACTACAAATTCTATAAAATATTATGAACAAGTTTATGAAAATAAAGTTAAAATATTAAGGAAATGGAAAATGTACTAGATAGATGTCAAAACCTAACTAAAAGAAATAGAACATTTTATCAAGAAAAATCTCATCTACTACAAAAAGCAAATTTTAAGTAAAAACCTTCCGCAAATAAAATTCCAAGAGCAGATGGCCTCAACGGCAATTTCTTTATTTGTTTAAGGAAAAAAAACCCACAATAATGCAGAAATTCCTTTAGAGTATAGAAAAGCTCATTTTTATGAGTTTTATGAAGCCAGAATAACCTTGTTATTAAAATCTGACAAAAGCATTATAAGAAAGAAAAATCATATCCACATGAACATATACATTACTGTCACTTTGGGATAAACTAAATATTTCATAATCTCAAATTTTAAAGACTGAAAACAAACAGAAAGAAAATCAGAAATAAGACACATACATTTCCAGGTTAAGAGAATCTATCAAATACCAGTTCAGGCAAATGGTTGTTAAGAATAAATTAAATGTGATGACAAAGATAGAATGCTGTTTCACAAATATGGAATTATGACATAAAACAGTATTGTAACGCCACCCAGAACGCTGAAACCGTACCACAAACCAGTCTGATGAACAGAAGTTAATACGTTCAATATAGAAAAGGTTCACCTCTGTTCTATCAGTTCCATTTACACAGGCATCATCTTTGAACATGAAAAATAATCATATAAAATGAACAGTGTGCTTTCACAGCTCTCCAACATACCATCAGAGGTGTTACCCAGAGCCATTAGGTAAACAAAAGAAATAACATATCTAATTTGAAAAGAAGAGGTAAAATCATCTCTGTTCATAGATAATGTAACTGGCAGGTGCTGCTATTTGTTAGGCTGAGACCACACGGGAGGCCCCAGTTCAATTCCCAGACCACTCTAGAAGTCGGGGACAGTGGTTCCTGCCTGTAGTCCCAGCTATTCCGGGCGGGACAGGAGGGCTGCAACATAGCAAGGCCCTAAGCAAAGAGGTCAGTAAGTAACTTATTCAGGCAAGAGTGAATTCAAAGGATGCTGAGATTAGAATGAAAGTCTGATGAGAAACACACATTACTCATTAAAGGGAAATACAATAACTTTACCAGGAAGAAGCCTGGTGGACACTGTCTCAGCCAAGTGATCAAAGTTACCACTATTTTCAGTGACACAAGGCACCTCTTGATGTGATGTGCTGGAAAGGGTCACAGCATCATTTAAGTTGAATTGTTAGAATAATACCTAACCTTAACCAAAACATGATCAATTATCAGGCCAACACAGGTTCAAGGCTTATGTACAAAACACATGCTTTGTCTTCTCCAAAAAATATCATCATCATCAAAGACAAAGGACTGAGGAATCATTCTACATTAAAGGTGGCTAGAGCCGGGAAAACCAAATGCAATGTGCACTCTGCAGTGAGTGATGGATCCAGAAAAAGTGATATAAATAATATTATTGTGACAACTGGCAAAATTAGAATATGGTCTGGAAGTTAGATAATACAGTGATATCAATGATAAATTCCTGGTTTTGACCGTTATTCTGCTAATGATATAGTTAAGGTAGCAGCTACTTGGTACTGGTATCCAGTCAAGATAAGGGCACAAAAATCGCACCTTACTATCAGGTCATTCAGGGGAAAAGAATGTTAGAGACATATTTGGGGTGGGACAGAAAGGGGCACATGTTATGAATAAAACAAACATGACGACACGTTACACTGGTGAACCTGAGTAAAGAATATAAGCAAGTACTTTGCATATTATTCCAGCTTTTCTGTAAGCCTAAAATTATTTCAAAAATGAAAAGTTTTTAAAAAGAGTATGAAAAATTTCCTATAAAAGTGTGCCATATTCATGCTTCTGGACAAAATCCCTTAATGCTTGTATTAAGTTCTACCTGAACACTCCCCCAAAATAAAGACCCAGTACGCTCCCTTCTCAATATCTCTCCATTGCTAAATTTAATCGCATTTTCCCCAAATATTATAAACGGGATCTCAAGCAGCAAAGGTAAAGTTATTATCAATGGAGACAGGAAGCCCTCCTATTAAACTTGAGTTTCAGGGAAGAGAGGGTTTTAAGTAAAGTAGTAAAACTTAAATAGTGTAAAAATAATGGGTTTTGCTACATTAACAATAAACTGGTATTTTTTTCACTCTTTAAAATGCAAAAGTTGCCCATATATTTAATTTTTTCATTCATTTTATGATCATTTGTTCATTCACCTTGGAAATAGTTATCAATCTTGAACCAAACACTTTCCCACTCATGCTAGGAAGGAAAAAATAACCGTAAATAGTTGTCAATTTATTCTTTTCATTGAAATTGAAATTAAAATGTATTTATTACATTAAAAAGTAGGTTTATTCATTGTGGCTGATGTAAAAGAAAATAAGTGTGAGAAATACATAAAGAATGAAACAAAAGAAATCAGCTTTAAAATAATAAGAAAATGTCAAATACACAATTATACAAGAAAATAAATTACAATTTAGCTTTATTTTTATACTGTTTAATTTTATATACAGTACACATATCATAAATACACACTTGTAATACAAAAATCTATACAAAAACCCAACTAATCTAACATCTATAAAAGGGGAAGGGAGATACTGAATTTCATTTCTGATACTTTTCTGTTTAAATACTTCTTAAGTTCCATTTTCAAATCATCATTAATTTTTCAAAAGAGCTTTGTGTTCACAGAAATACATTATTCAAGTATATTTTATGGAAGCAGTAAACCATTTCGAAATGCTGGTTACAAAGTCAAAACAAATAAGCCATGCTATTGAACAGAAGCAGAGGGCTCTGCTTCCCTCTGCCTAGAATCAGCTCCTGCCACATGAAAAGCAGAGCAAACAGTGATTCCAACCTTGCCCTACTAAATGCATCAGATAGGGCTGCCAACACACTGCACCTGCACCCTACGCTGTCGGTGTATCGGCTCTTGTTAAAAAGATAATACTAAAATACTCATTACAAATCTTACTTTCCTAATTTCTTCTTTATTCAATGGGAAAAACAGTACATTGTTTTCATTGCTCTTGGCACTGGATATACCTGAAGGAATAATTTAAACGACTGAAGGACAAACTGTATACATAATTTCTAAAGGATTTTGGAAGATTTTAATTCATTCAGTTATAATTTGGGTTTGACAGTTATCAATCACAGCATTAACAAGGAATACAAAATAATATTCCTCACCATGGTATTATCATGTTTTAAAAAGTGAATTGTTGAGGCACTAAAACATCACCTGACTTGCCCAAGGTCACAAAGGGAATGAGAAGCAGAGAAAAGCATTTTCCCTACTGCAAGTCACTGTACTAAAACCTATTAACAGCTTATGCTACCTCTCCCAACTGGCTCAGTGTAAGACACAGAAAATAGATGTGCTATTCAGGAATGTTTGTTTAATCTAAGCTGCTATAATTAATAAACTTAAACTTAAGAATCTATATGTTTATCACACATCATTTTTATTTTACAAAGGAAATATCATTATTTTGAATTATTAGGCATGTAATGATCCTCTTTAAATTTGACACAATTGATGCAAAAACATTGACAAGATCATTTTAAGCAAACAAATTCTTTGAAAGATGCTTATTAACATGATTTATAAAAAATACTCATTTTAGGACCTAGAAAATTCAGAAGACAGTAACACAGATGCAAATACATTAAATATAAATGGATTAAATCATCTTCTAGTGGACCTTTTGTTTTTTATGAAACCGTTCTAACAAAGCACTCATAATGTTTCCTGGTATTCTTTGGTGCTTGTCAATCAAAGCTTGAACAGCATTCTTCGTCTATTAAAAAAACAAAAGGAAAGCTGTTATTCAGTCCTCTCAGGAAGTTCTCACTCATCTTACCCCACTGCCCAATCTCAGTACACACACGCATGTTTCTCACATGGATCTTAATAAGCCTGAAACTACGGTCATCCAAGGTTAATTTCTACACCAGACTGGGATCTCCTTGAAGATGCACCTTAGAATTTCTCTGGCACTCGGGGCCGGCAAGTGGCATGGTGGTTAAAGGCGCTGGACTCCCAGATGGCCGACCACGGTTCAAGTCTCAGACCTGGTGGCTTGCTTTCTCACTTCCTCTCTCTCTCTGTCTCTCTCTGATCAAAATGGAAAATAATAATGATAATAATAATAAATAAAATTAAAATAAAATAATTCTAAAAAAAAAAAAAGAATTTCTCTGGCACTGAGCTCACACAGCCCCTGGGGCCTCACCGGGTCGGACTCCTCCAGTCTTGCACACAATAAACACTAAAATGAACTGAAGAAAACAAATCAGAAAGAAAAAAGTGGTTGTACACTTTTTAGGAGGCAAGTGGAAGATTTAGTTCTTTGCAGCCATCAATGAACTATGGTGTATTTTTCTTTCACTGCCATACTCACCAATTATATCGTGGCATGCAATGGGAAGAAGTGAGGAAATTACACACTCTAAGCTCATTATCTCAATTTCTAGACAGTTTCACAGAAATTTTAATTAAGTAAGAGTGCTGGAAAAGTCAATTAGGATAGATCAAGAAATCTTCTAAAGCTGTTTGTTTCCCATTATATTTCTGGCAGACCTCAGCAATTTTTACCTTAGAAATTGGCAATTTAAAACGTTTATGCACATATATAGTACATGCATGCACATACATTCAAGCTTCCTTTTCAGACTCTAACCTTTAAATAAAATTAGTAAGTCCCGGCTCAAAGATATATTTGGAAATATGCCTCACCAAACCAGTTTTCACATCTATAATGTGAGAACTACTTCGTACGTTATTATCAGGATTCAAGGAAACTGAAATAATGTCTTCCAGTAGTTAGGCCCGTGACTGATACACACGTTATACTCCATAAAGGATATTTCTAAACTTTTTAAAGAGATTTTTTGCCATAGGGCACATGTACTCACCAGAGAGAGGGACAGAGATAGTGAGAGGGAAAGTGAAAAATCACACCCCAGAGGGATGGTCACGCCTCAATCTCTTCTCATCCATTCTCCTCCTAGGATTCTGGGCACACGCATACACACATCTGCTGTGATTTTCAAGCCACCAGGTCTGGGACTTAACCTGTGGTTGGCCATGTGTGTCCAACAACATAGCCACTATGCCATCTGCTGGCCTTCTACTTCTAAACTTTCATTCATTCATTCATTCTGAAATATTAGGAACTCACAATTTAATAAGAAGAATCTAGTATAAAGTAATTTAAAAGTGATCATTTGTTATATACGAGAAGAAAGTGTTCAGAAGTTCATACTTGAGAACCCAGTTGGTGGCCAGTGACCAGAACTGGGTGCATAAATAGTGCACTCCTGAGGGGTAGGGACTCCAAGAACCTGTATGATTTCAAAATGACAAAGGCAGGAACATGAGAGTAAAGGACCCCAAGAAAATAGCAGTTGAACGAATGGTTGGAGCTCAAGGTATGTATTCAAAAGCTGGGTGATAGGTTGACCCCATAGTCTACTGACAGGGGAGTCAAATCCAACGTCACAAACCAAGGTTCAAATCCCAGCCCGAGTGGCTTGAAAAACATGTCTGGAACATGTGTGTGTATGCCCCAAATCCCAATTGGATGAAGAAATTGAGAAGGGATTGTGGTGTCAACATACTTTGCTAGGGGGTGTTCTCTTCCTCTCTCTCTCTCTCTCTCTCTGTTGGTCTCTCCTTGGCAATTGCATGTTCCCTCTAGTAATTAAAAATAAAACAAAACCCAAAAAAGCTGCATAGTACAAGGCTTTAAAATTACGTTTCAATTATATCATATAGAGAGCTACATACCACATGATAAAGTATAGACCTTGTTTAGTAGGAAATTAAGACATCAAAGAAAGACTTCTGGTGAATTAATATCAGGACTGTGTCTCAAGAAAACACAATTCTTGCCTCAGACTCATGCAATTTATAGGGTACTGGCCTCTAGTATTGGAAGCCACATGGTCGACTGTGGGTTTGGATCCCCAGGTTGGCCTGAAAACATGCTGTGTACACATTTCAAGGAGCTGGAGGGCTAAGGAGAAGAGATTGCGGCATGACAAAACTCTGTTGAGGATGCTTTTTTTCTTGCCCTTCCACTCCCTTTTCATGTACACTTATATTATCATAAGAATATACATATGGGGTGGCCAGCAGGTGACATAGTGGTTAAGGCACTGGACTCCACAGGGTTGACTGCAGTTCTAGTCCTGGACCCTGTGACTTGAAAAATCATGCTGGGCATGTGTGCTTGAGTGCTCAAAATCCCAAGAGAATGGAGGAGAAGGACTGCAGTGAGGCCATCACTCCCCAGAGGGGGTGATATTTCTCTCTCTCTGTCTCACTCTCTCTCAGTTCTGCATGTGCCCTATAGCAAAAATCTCTTCCTAAAAGAAAAAAATAAACACACACACACACACACACACACACACACACACACGTATATATAACCCTTGGAAAAATCATCCATGGCCCCTTCTCTCATTAAGTCCAACGACATTCTTTTAATCCTCACTTTACTTGACTTCTCCATCACCACTGGTCACCCCTTTCTTAAACTCCATTTACTTCTGGAACCCTCGTTCTCCTAGTTTTCCAATAGTTCTTGGTTGTTCCTTTTCAATATCCTCATTCTCCCCAAACCAGGCACTGACTGAACCTCCAAAAGCTCAGTAACCTCACCTATCTCCACAGCTGCAGTTACCGCCCACTGGCTTCTGACTCCCAACTGTCTGTCATCGGCCCTTCAGCTTCATACATGTACCTTCAAGATGACTGTGCATGAATGGTTTAATGGCACCTCAAACTCATGCTTAACTGAAGACTAAACCAGCATTCTTTTCTCCATACTTTGGCCTTTCTGCTCCTGTTTCAGTCAATGACACCATTATGAATCTGTCCAAGTAAATCAAAATCTAAGAGACATGCTTAAAAACTCCTGCTTTTCATTCATAATAGCCAGCCCACGGGCAGTACCCATTAGTTTACCTTAAATCTACCCACTTCTTCCTATCTTCTCTCTACCTTAATAATATGAGGAATCTTCAAAGCATTCACAGAAGATAGATATTATGAGAAAACCATGCATAGATTTCAAAATGTTTTTGCATCAAAATGAACATATTTTAATTGCACTTTTCCACAAAATTTCAAAGTGTCTTATATATCCACATAAAAATAACTGTATTTATATGTGGTTATGTGTGTATGTATAAGCACACAGAGAAAGGCAAAGAGACAGAAAGAGACATGGAAAACATGAAGATAGAACAAGAGAGTGATTAAGACTGAAAGAACTTTAAGGAAATAGCCCAGTGTCTTCTGTGACATTATTACAGTATAGGGGGTGGGGGGGTTAAAGGGTGTGAGCACTTGCCAGAAAGACAGAGAGAGAGAGACAGTGAGATATAACCCCCTGGGGGGATGGCCACGCTGCAATCCCCTCTCCTCCATTCTCCTCTCAGGATCTTGGGCACGCACGCACACGTGCCTGGCGTGAGTTTAAACCACCAGTTCAGTCGAGGATTCGAACTACAGTTGACTACATGGGAGTCCAGTGACACTGCCATTATGCCAAGTGCTGGTCCCAATTACAGTATATTTTAATGTATAATTCAACAGAGCTGCAAAATGGCTCTTGGCCACTATCAAATTTCTGAGCTATCACTCATTATTTAAATGAGGTTTCATTCCTACATGTAAATATTAATATGCATGCTAATAATCTCAAATTGTGATAATCCAAGGATCATTATGCTCTAGTGTTCACTTATTAATAATATAGAAGATTGGAAAATCAGAACACATTCAAAAGGAGAATGTCAAGTATTCTTTATTTAAGTATACTTTAGTTCAATAAATATCAACTTACAGAAAAACATATCATTTGTCCAAGGCGACAGTGCTGCTGAGTGGCACAGCAAGGATTAGATTCCAGATCCCTAAACTGCTACACAAGGTTTTTTTTTTTTTTCTTTTATCTTTTATTTTGACTATAAAATAGATAATATTTGTTAAAAAAAAAAAAAAAGTGTTCCTAACCCACTTACCTCCTAGTACACAGGCAGGAAAACTTTTTTAAAGAACAAAATAGAATTCTATCCTCAAGGAGAATGCAGTTGTTAGGGAGCAGCAACGAAATACGGTACATTAAGAACAAGAGTGTGTGGGCAGAAGCAAGGTCAGAGGTTGAGACCTCAGCCTCGATGCAAGGCTCCTGGAGTTCTTGGCGAGGTATTGCTTCCAGATGAGAAAACAAACATGCGGCGTGGAGAAGATGCCCTGGCCCTAAAAGCCAGGGCATGGGGTTTACATTCACAATGTAGGACAGAACTACATAGTGAAGATACTTGAAGAAGCAGCAGAACAACTAGAGGACAAGAAGGTGCACACTGCATCGTTAACATTCTCTTTGTGAAACTTCCTGCAGATCAACTGCTCCAAGTGAACGGTCTCCTTGCATGTAATACGACAGCTGCTTTAGCTGAACGCCCGTTTCGCAGTGACTGAACTTGGTTAGTCCAGTCCAGCAAGGTGTATTACAGTCATTCACGCCTTCTCCCCACCAGTCCTCTCTTCTGGGCCATCCTTGTGGGAGGACTTCAGGTCCTTCCTCACAGAAGCTCACTGTGGCTGTGTGACTGCTTTGGTCCATACAAGGTCAGGGGAGTGAGCCACTTCTAAAATGAAACTACAAGGGCTTCCTCGTGGTCTGCTCCTGAACTCTGCCTTCTACCACACAAATGACAACCATATCCCAGGGCTCGTTTCAGTGTGAATCTCAAGTAAAGAAGACATGGACTGGGGTTGGCCCAAACTACACACAGAGACATCCTGGAATCCTCCTGGTGACGGAATTCCGTGCCTGGCCTCTACCACCAACTGTCTATAGCATAACCCTCACCAACCAACCTACTGCCCGCAGCGACAATGAAAAATGTGTCCAGGTATTGACAAACATACCCTAGGGGGTAAAACCACCGATGGAGAATCACTGATCTAGAACGTGCCTGTAGAACATGTAAGGAAATAATAACATTTTCAATATAATAACTGAGAATAAAAACCTGTCCTAATACTAATAAAGAAAAAAAATTTACCTTTTCAGCTAATTCTTCTGCTGTTATTTTTGGATCGTATGGAATGGGATCACCTAAGTAAGTTCGTAACTTCACTGGAAAACCCCCATACATTGGAGCAAATGGATAGCGAAATTTTTCATAAAGCCACCTAAATAACCCTGTTTTAAAGTTAAAAAGAAATTTAATTGGTTAAATCTCTGCAAATGTAAGTTTCAAATGAATCACCTAAGATTTATAGAAAAGTATCAACAAGAATCACTTCCCTGAAATTAATTCAATAGTTTCTTAAAAGACCAGCTTTTCATCAATTCTAAACATACCACATTAATACAGGATGTTAATAATAAGAGAAATTGGGGGTGGAGAAGGGATACATGAAAACTTCTTGTACTTTCTGCTTAATTTTTCTATAACCCTAAAAATGCCACCAAAATTAAGCTTATTAAATTAAAAGAAGAAACTTTCAAAAATAATGAGGACCGGGACCAGCAGTTAGCATAATGGCTATGTCACTGGACTCCCATGTTAGTCGACTGCGGTTCACGTCCCAGACCCGGTGACTTAAAACTCACACCGGGTGCGTGTGCATGCGTGCCCAAGATCCCGAGAGAAGAATGGAGGAGAAGGGATTGCAACGTGGCCATCCCCCCTGGGGGGTGATTTCTCGCTTTCTATCTCTCTGTGTCTCTCTGTCTGTCTGGCGAGTGCACGCGCCCTATAGCAAAAACCTCTCCCCCACCAAAAAAAAAAAAAATGACTTAAAAACCAGTGACTATTATTGTGAAACAAAGGGTAAAGACTACAACAAAAACCTAGTAGCCAAATGATTCGCATAAAGCCAGACCCATAGCCCAGGTAAGGGAGCCGGATCCCATACAGTCGACTACGGTTCGAATGGGGTCCCAGTGACTGAAACCACAGGGTCATGTTCACATGTGCCCAAAATCTCAATAGGATGGAGGAATGGAAGAGAAGGGGTTGAGACATGGCCATATCCCACAGTGGGGTGTTTATTTTCTCTCTCTCTACATCTGGCAAACACACATGCCCTCTGGCAATTGAAAAAAAGGAGAAAAATTCACATGAATAAAAAACTAACTATAGGCCAGCAGGTGGAGTAGTGGTTAAGGGCACTAGACTCACACACAGTCAACCACAGTTCGAGTCCAGGACCCAGCGGCTTACTTTCTCACCTTCTCTCTCTCACTCTCACTCTGTCCTTCTCTGGTCAAATTAAAACAAATAAACAAATAAAGTTAAAAAAAAAAAAAGACTAAAAAGATAAAGCACACATTTATGTAAACATGAGGCTATAATACAACAAAACTAGAAACATGATTGTAAACTAGGAAAAATAAAACTAATGTAAAACTAATGTATCAAAGCAAGAAGCTACTAATGCTAATGGCCAAATCTAAAATTAATCAGGATTAAATAAAAAAGTGATAGTAAAATAAAATGAACTGTTGGAGTAAATGAAACAAAACCAAAACCATTATCAAAGGAATCCACAAAAGGTAAGCCACACAGAATACAGTCATGGCTTATACTGAATGCTGAAAACAGTGTTTATATATGGAAGAGATGATAAGACTCAGAGTAACAATGAAAAACGATCAAGCTAACAGAAGAAACACCAGATGTTAATCTTTGAGATATTCAACTTCAAAATCAAGAAAAGTAAAAAAGCAGTCAAAAACGATTTTTAAAAATAATTTACAAAAGTAAAATTTCTGGCATAGTTTCTGATTTGCCATTTAAATTTTGAAGAAATAGAAAATTAGAAGATAATTCTACATAGAAAGCTACATAACATCAATCTGCCTTTTTACTTTAACTTAGAAAAACTTAAGACTTAATTTTTAGCAGACTGGTTAGGCACTGTGCATGGGGAGCCAGATCCCACAGAGCCAAACTCCAGGTCAAGTCCTGGCCCCAGTACCTCAAAAAATATTTTGGGCACCTATGCATACATGCCCAAAATTCTGAATGGAGAAAGAAGGATTGTGGTATGGTCATGGCCCATTAAAGGACGCTTTCTCTCTTTGTCTCTCTCTCTGGCAAGAGCATGCATCCTCTGACAATAAAAACCAAACAAATATCAACAAACAGCAACATTATACATAAAAGAAACAATCACAACTTAAAACTCTTTAGAAGAGGATTGTATGCCAATGGGAACGCTAACAGTAATACTGCTAGAGATATAAAATATAATCAATTGAATATAACATACAAACCATAGGGTACAAAAACAAAGTTCGAGAATTTCAAAATGAAGACACAGTGCCGCCTCCCAGCACTGTGGTACGCACTCTGCAGATGAAGCTGGATCCCCTGTGGCCAGACGAGGTCCCAACCTCCACAGCTTGAAAAACAGGCCAGGGGTGCATGTATACCCAGGATCCTGTCAGGATGGAGACTCATACGAGAAAGAATCAGAGTGACCAGGCAAAATTGGAGGTACTTTCTCTTTCTTTCTCTCTCTCTCTCTTACACACCCTCTGGCATCAAAAGGAAAAAACCCAGGTATATGACAAAGAAAAAGCACATCCAATCATTGCTATCCCACGACTACAATAGATTGAAAGTCCCTTTTCCCCCAAATTTACTACTAAGGTGCATGAGCTCACCAGAGAGAAACAGAGACAGTGGGAGGTAAACTGAGAAACCACCCCCACAAAGGGGATGGCCACACTGCAATCCCTTCTCCTCTATTCTCTTCCTGGGATTTTTAGGTAAGCATGTACATGCACCCAACATGATTTTCAAGCTATTTAGGTCCAGGACTTGAAGTATGGTTGGCCATGTGGGAGTCTGGCTCCTTAACCACCATGCCTCTTGCTGGCCCCTAAAATGCTTATTTTTAAGTCTTTGTTTTTCCCCTCTAATTTTGTCAAAGGGCGTGTGTGCTCACCAGAGAGAGAATGAGAGAAAGAAAGATCAAGAAAAGTACCTCTCCGTTGGGAATGGCCATGCTACAATCCCTTCTCCTCCATTTCTCCTTTATTGCAGGATTTTAGGCACACATGATATGTCCAGCATGATTTTCAAGCCACAGGGGCAGGACTTAAACTGCTCGGTCAGCCATGTGGAATCCAGCTGATTTAATCACTATAATACAGGTTGGCACGAAAAGCTTATTTCTTTAATGAATAAATGAAAGATAGGTAATAAAAAATTTTCAATGTAAATATTAGTGTCCAAAATATTTTTAAGGTGACATAAATAAACAAAAGTAAATGATACCTCCTGAAATTCCTTAGTTCAATATTGTACTGTCATCTATTTTTAAGCTATAACTTCTCCAAAGTTAAAAAGACAGTATGTAAATTTTTTCTAAACTTCATCAACATGGTTTAATGCAGAAAAAGTGGTTAAGTGGCATAGAAATTCTAAAATCTCAACACAAATAAGCTTCAGTATATTTATGATAACAAAAGCATCTAAGATCTGCCATTACTTAAAACCAGCTATCATTTAGACTTTAAATAGAAAAACATCTAAATATTATATATCCGTTTTCTAAAGTTAAAAATTCAGAAGGATTCCTTGTAGGGTTCAAAAGCTCAAATGTTTTCAATATCACAATGAATTTACACGCCATATAATTCAGAACTTACTTGTTCCTCCAAGTGATCTAAATCCTTCTCGAATATTTTGTGTAAACATAGGAATAATGGGCTAAAGAAAAGGAAACTTTGAATTAAAAAGTAAATAAATTAATCAATTCAATGTCTCCATTGAGGCAGTAATGCAAAATTTAGAGGGCCTGTTTAAGATTATGACAGTAAGATAATTTTAAAATAAAGGCATGCTTGATAAGTGTGATTTATCAGACTAAATTGAATGTGATCGCTGGAAAAACAAACTGGAAACACTACCCTCCAGTGGTAACACATAATATTTCATTTACCAATTTTCTTGACATTCTACATTAACCTTTGAAACCTAAAATAGAGATCAAGGTAATCATTAACTTCATTAAATAAAAAGAAAGAACAAGATAAATTAAACTGGTTTTAGTGGGCTGCTGAAAAGTATGAAGAAAAGTTCCAAGACAGAGTCTCTGTAAAGGGGAACTTTTATAAATTTAAATTTTATTTTTTATTTTTAAGAATTATTTAATTCTAATTATCATTACCATTTTTAAATTTGCTACAGCACATGTGTGTTCACCAGAAAGAGACAGGGAAATACAGAGGAAGAGAGACTGAAAATGAGACAGTGAGCTGCCAAGCCCGGGACTCAAACTGCAGTTGGCCATGTGGGAGTCCAGTGCCTTAACCACCATGCCACCTGCTGGCCCTGACAGGTCTTTTTTCTTTCCAAGTCACCAGGAGCATGATTTGAACTAGGCAGTCTGTCATGAGATCACGTTCCCTTAACCACTATAATACAAGGCCAGCCCCAAATGACAGGTCTTGACAAGACAATGTCACAGAATAAGTGACACAGCATTTTCTGTGAGCCTATTAAATACAAAATGTTCAACATCGATAAAAAGTATAAGACTCATCATAAAAAAGGAAAGTTATACATGTTAAATAATTCTTTATGTTGTTAATTTTAAAGATGTCTGCCCACAAATTCGTGACTTTTATTTTTTCATAAATATCAATTATTATGACTTTGCATAATGGAGACCTTCAGTAAATGTCATAAAATAATGGATTATGTACTGAAGTATTGTGTAAGGAGATTATGCGATTGTAAATACTGAAGCAGATAAAATATCCAATAAAATGCTTTAAAACACATACAAAATATGCTGAATTAACTGATGTCATAAAGTAGATAAAACTCTGTATGTGTGTGCATGTGTACAGTATCACAACAGACCATCAGTATATGTCTAATACAGAACGACCTGCCTTAATGAGCAGCGTTCGAGATATTTAAGTAAGCTGATGTTGTAAAAGCCATTACTATTCGGGTATGAAGAACAATAAAACATGGCAGACTGAAGGGAAAAAGGTATAGGTATACCTTCATAAAACTTACTATATCGGAACCAGCAGTTGGCATAATGGCTATGTAGTTGGACTCCCATGTAGTCATCCATGGCTTGGTCCTGGATCTGGTGGCTTAAACTCACGCCAGGCGCATGTGCGTGCGTGCCCAAGATCCCGAGAGGAGAATGGAGGAGAAGGGATTGCGGCATGGCCATACCCCTGGGGGGTGATTTCTTGCTTTCTGTCTCTCTGATTCTCTCCATTTTTCTGGTGAGCACGTGTGCCCTATAGCAAAAACCTCTCCAAAAAAACTTATTATCTCACTTACAACAGATCGTTTATGTATTGTCTCTCTTCTTTTACCAAAGACGCCTACCACACTGACCGTGTTTTGTTCACTGCTGTATCCCTAGCAACTAGAACTGTGCCTAAGATAGATTCGATGCTAGTGTGATGCATGAATTAAAGAAGCAATGAATAGGATTGGTCTCATAGCCCAGTCTTTAAGAGAGCTGAATCACACGTGACTGACCAGGGTTTGCATCCTAGCCCAGTGGCTTGAAAAGAATGCCAGGCATGTATGCATGCATACGTGTCCAAAATCCTGCTAGGATGGAGAAATTGAGAAGGGTTTGCAGAATGACCATACTCAATCAGGGAAAGCTTTCTCCCTCTCTCTGTCCTTCTGGAGAGCACATACACTCTCTAACAATTAAAAAAAATTATTTTATCTTTTTTATGAAAAGGAATGAATAGGCCAGGAGGTGGTATGGTGGTTAAGATACTAGATCCTACATGGCCAACTCTCTGGTTCGAGTCCCAGACCTGAAGCCTTGAGAAACACACAGGGTGCAGGTGTGTGTGTACATGTGTGCGCCCAAAATCCCCAGGCAAGAATGGAGAAGGGGCCGCAGTGGGCCATCTCCCCTGGGGGTGATTTCTCATTTCTTCTCTCAGTCTCTCTGGCAAGCGCACATGTCCTATGGCAAAAATCTAATAAAGAAGAAAAAGAATAGGAATGAATAAACAGAGATAATGGTTCTAATGAATTAACTTATATTTATTCTCTGAATACAGAGATCAGAAACAAGCAGCAGTAATCTCAAAACCAGTTAGATAAAGAGAGAAGTTAGGTCTGAGCAAGGACATTTAGAAGAAAAATAGGGAGGCAAAGCATTAATGGCACAAAGAAATGTGGTATTATCTGTTGAAGATATTTTGTAGTTTTATCGACTGTACTAGAGAGAAATGTTCACTTGATGAAATATTCATTTTGTAAGCCAAATAATAATGTGATTGAATGTGTAAAATAAAATAAAATTTTAAAATGTTCATTACTAAAAAAAAAAGAGAGAGAGAGAGAGAGAAGTTAGATTTTTAAAAATTTTAAAAAGCCATCAGCTGGAAAATTTTCAATTTGATGGAATTAGTTCACAAAGCTAAAACATAAGAAAATAAAACTCTTTCATAAAAAATTCAGATTACAATGTAGGGTATCACCATTAGTTTTATAACATAAGAGGACAGCTGAAATTCTAATGCTTATAAAATGTCTTCAGAGTTGAGAACAAGAACATTTGCACAATAAGAACAGAACCCTTCCAGCCTGTGGATACACTTGGCCTCCTGAGCAGCACTGCTGGGTTTCTGCTATGGCCTTGCACGCTCCTGGAAATGTGTCCTGAAGTACGCGCTCAGTGGGGACCACTCAGGCTGAGCATCATTCTGTACAGAGCTCATTCCCGGAGCCTGGACTCTGGAACCACTCGTAGGAGAAAGCTCACCCTGGCAGGCCAGGTGCTGCAGGCTGAAGTCACAGCATGTGGCTTCTAAACTTTCCTCCAAACTGGCATCTTGAAAGCCACCTCACGACCTTGTGGTACATTCCTCACTGCTCTGCTCATGTCCACGTGGCACATAAGGTGGGTGCATTCACGACCTAGCATGCGATTCTGTTTACGCCTACATGGGTGTCTCCGTGACGTTTGCGGGTGCACACGGAGGGTGAGGTCGTACTTTTTATAACTATCCTTGGGCAATCGATGCAGCATGCTCTTGAAGTGTTCGTGCTGTCACTAACGTGTGAACTGTCAGACAAGTTACTTACCACTACTAAGGCTCCCTTTCTTCATGTTTAAAATGACAATAACATCAATTATCCTCATTGCTAAGGTTTTTTAATGCATTAAATGAGATAATACATACAATCAATTTTATTAAAACAAAATGCTATGTTCTTTTTCATTGGTTATTTATTTATTTTATTTATTTTTAAAAAAAGAATTATTTTAACTCTATTTTATTTTTATTATTTATTTATTTAAATTTGACCAGAGAGAGAGAGAAAGCAAGCTGCCGGGTCCAGGACTTGAACCACGGTCAACCATGTGGGAGTCTAGCACCTTAACCACCATGCCACCTGCCAGCCCCATGCATTGGTTATTTATTCAATTAGACTAAATGGACTAATTTTTTGACCCTTATTTAGATATGAAGATACCTAAAGATTCTTGTAAAAATTCTCATCAGTAATTCACAAAATAAGAGCAATTTATATTGTATAAGAAAGGCTGCCACATTCAAATGCACCTTAATATTTTCTACTAGTATTTTGTGAACTCACACTGACAATGTGGATTTTCCCCCTTAATTTCTGTTTCTATGTCACAATAAAATGTAGTTAATCCTGCAACAATGGTCTTAAATGTTTGCTCATAGCTTATGATAATTTTATAAAGCCTATTAAGGGATTTTCCAGAGGGGACATTTGTGCCATTTACGACTATATACACACGTTACTGGAGTGTTCCAGGAGCGTGGAAGGCCCCTTCGGTCTCGGACGTCAGCAACTCACTGTGAGATGCAGTCAGGGGCGGCAACAGCCCCGGTTGCCTGGAGTCCTGAACTGTGTGCTCTGCTCTGCGGCTGCTTGGCATGTCCCTTCCATCTCTGCATCTCTCTGTACCTGAGTCTCCTCCTCTGTAACACTGGAATAATTACATGCGCCGTCGCCTTCCTGGACAGGAACTCCAAGATGAACTACAGGGTGCTAGGGTGGCACACGATGATCAGACCTTTAATGCTGTCTTATGAATCCACAATGCTACATTTCCGTTAGCTGTTAAATTTACAAAACACTATTTCTAAGCTCTTTGAAGTTTCGTACAAGTCTTAATTATCTAGATTATCTTAATTCTCTAGAAATTCTGTTAAGGACTGGAAAAAGTTCTTTTTCTATTATCACGTCTTTCCGGCAATAATGTTGCTTTAAACTATAAATGGAAGGATAAAAAGGAATTAGAATCTCATGAAAAATTATGTGATTTGAAATTTATTTTACAATCTTAAACTTTTGAAGAAATAATTCTTACAAAATGTTAACTTGAAAAGTGAACTATCTTTGTTAGGTTTTAGCTTTTATCACTGCCTTCATATACATTATACTAGTTATTCTTAATTTTCTGTACAACTGCATATACATTTTTATATTCTGTATTACTCATATAAGTTTTTGTTGTCTAAATAAGCGCTTAAGGCTATGTAGAAAATAAGTAAAATATAAATTAACTTTATCACTATTAACGTAAATTATATTCAAAAGGCTCTTTCCACGAGTGTTTAACATTTGGTGTCTTTCTAAAAAGTCAATTTAATTCAACCACACTTAAAAGTCTAACCAATGTGGGTCACTTGTACTAGGGATTTAGAATATAAAATGAAAGCTTGCTCTTGGGGAGCTTATAATCTACTATAGGGCAGTACTGCTTAAATTACACTACTTATTTTTTAAAAGTACTACTTACTATTAAACACTAGGCAAGTACATTCACTCGTACTAGGATCACATTATTAAAGCACTAGAGCAGTGACTTACACATACAAGTGCATCAGAAAGAGGGCCAGCAGGTAGCATGGCGGTTAAGGGTGCTGTGCTCCCACGTGGGAGCTGGCAGTGGCATGGCGGTTAAGGGTGCTGTGCTCCCACGTGGGAGCTGGCAGTGGCATGGCGGTTAAGGGTGCTGTGCTCCCACGTGGGAGCTGGCAGTGGCATGGCGGTTAAGGGTGCTGCGCTCCTACACGGCCTACAGCAGTTTGAGTCCCGAATCTAATGGCTTGCTTTCTCATTTTTTCTTTCTCTCCCCCACCTGCAACTCTGTCACTCTCTGGTCAAATTAAAATACATAAATAAAGTTAAATAATTCTTTAAAAAATCCATTAGAAAGAATAGCTCAATCATTCTATTGCATTATAAACTTTGCAATTAAAACATGAAGAGAAAACATCCCCTTTTCTTCAAATACTGCTCTCAGGTTAAAATAAGTCATCCAAAATCTCTTCTCTTTTTAGCCAACAGTCCCTTGGGGGAGATTTCTCTCTTTCTGTCTCTCTGTCTCTCTGTCTCTCTCTCTTTCTGGTGAGCACATGTGCCCTATAGCATAAATCTCTCTCTAAAAAATAAAAATGAATACATAAAAAATGTATAACTGAAGGAATATGTAGTTATTTGTACAAAATTACATATCTGGTTTAAAAAAGCTAGGTTTTGATGCTCGGACAGGGTCTCACTGTGCTGCCCAGAGCAGTCTCAAGCTTCCTACCCTACCTTAGCCTCCTCAGGTCAGTAGAATCACATGTACATGCCACTGCATCTGGCCTTTTGGATTTTAAAATGTAAAATAAAATCTACTGGATATCTGCCAAATTTCCAGACTAATTTATTTTTTAAATGGCTTCCTAAGCACAAGGAGCATTTCTCTATTAGTACCTCATCTACGGTTACATATACTAAGTTTGTTTGTAAGTAGTGCAATCAAAGTAAGTTCTTACATACTTCAGATCACTAAGCATTTTCTAGTTTAAGTAAGCTTTATAATGATAGTTAATTCTCTACAACTCACCACTTTTGCATCAATGGCAACCTGTGCAAAGCCTTTACGATTACCCCATACGATGCTGTAGGTTTCATCGCTAATCAGGGCTTCTCGGACTCCACCTGGTGAAATAGCTAACAAGTGACCATTCCTCAGAATTTCCACACATTTTTCTCTTGGTCCATGTAGAGCACAAAATACATCAAGTAATAAACTAAACCCTGTAAGAAACAAGAGCACAAGGAGATATCTTAATAATTGCTGTTTGTCGTTCAATTCTTTTTTTTTTTTTTAGAGATTTTCACTGTAGGGCGCGTGCGCTCGCCAGACAGACAGAGAGAGACATGGAGACAGAAAGCGAGAAATCACCCCCCAGGGGGGATGGTCACGCCGCAATCCCTTCTCCTCCATTCTCCTCTCGGGATCTTGGGCACACACGCACACGCGCCCAGCGTGAGTTTTAAGCCACTGGGTCCAGGACATGAACCACGGTCGACTACGTGGGAGTCCAGCGACATAGCCATTACGCTAACTGCTGGTTCCCTGTCGTTCAATTCTTTAAGAGCAAAAATCATCACAACCTACGTAATTTTCTTTTTTTTTGGAGAGGTTTTCACTATAGGGCACGGGTGCTCACCAGACAGAGAGAGACATATAGACAGAAAGCGAGAAATCCCCCCCCAGGGGGGATGGTCACACTGCAATCCCTTCTCCTCCCTTCTCTTCTCGAGATCCTGGGTACGCACGCACATGTGCCCGGCATGAGTTTTAAGCCGCCAGGTCTGGGACGCGAACCGCGGTCGACTACGTGGGAGTCCAGCGACATAGCCATTACACTAACTGCTGGTTCCCAACCTACGTAATTTTCTATCTGTGCTTAAATCAGTACACATTTTTATTTAAAAAAAATCAACAATAACTCTTCAGTTTAACAGTTAAGATAAGTTGGTTTTTGCTTTTTTAAAAAATTTTTTGCCTAGGACATGTGCACTTACGTGATAGAGAGGGAAGTGAGAACTCACCCCCCAAGGGGGATGACCACACCACAATCTCTTCTCCTTCATTCTCCTTTTAGGATTTTAGGCACATGTGTACATATACCTGGCATGATTTTCAAGCTGCCAGGTCCAGGACTCAAACTGTTGTCGACCATGTGGGAATCCAGTGCCTCAACCAACCATACCACCCGCTCGCTAATCCCCAATGTGAGATAAACATTGTTGGTGAAGTAACAGCTACAACTTGCTGACGACCTGCTATCTGACTGTTACACAGTCAAACTCTTCATTAAAACTCCAAACAACCTTGGAGAACAGGAATTCTGTTCATTTTAGAGTCGAAGACATTTGGGCCCACAGAGAAGCAGCTTGGTCCAAGTCACACGCCTAGAACATGGCAGGACAGAGATTCCAGTCCAGATAGGTCTAATGCAAAGCCCCTAGCAGTACATCTCATAGCCAAACACGGTCTCATTAGAGCAATCAGGAAAGGTACCCTATTGACAACCACAGATCTAATCTCCCCTTAATGCTACGTAAGAGTCACTTGGGACCAGCATATGGCATAGCAGACATGTCACTGGATTCCCAGATGGCAGACCACAGTTTGAATCCTGGACCCAGTGGCTTGAAACTCATGCTAGGCATGTGTGCATACATGCCTAAGATCCTAGAAGGAGAATGGAGGAAAAGGGATTGTGGCATGGCCATTTCCCCAGGGGATGATTTCTCACTTTCTCTCTCACAGTCTCTGTCTCTCTCTCTCCCTGGAGAGTGCAAGGATCCTAAGGCAAAAACCTCAAAAAAAAAAAAAATCACTAAAGAGGCCAGCAGGTAGCATGGTAGTTAAGGCACTAGATTTCCACACAGCCAACCATGATTTGAGTCCCAGACCTGGTGACTTGAAACTTGGGCACATGTGTGCCCAAAATCCCAAGAGGAGAATGGAAAAGGGATTCGGGAATGATTTCTCACTTTCTATCTCTGTCTCTCCAACGAGCACACTCATCCTAAAGCAAAAAAAAAAAAAAAAAAAAAAACTTCTCAAAAAAAAAAAAAAAAAAACCGGCC